AGAACAATGAGAATCTGTTTCCTGTGCTCTGTACGTTATTAACGTCTCCTCCCCCCCCCCTCCCTCTCTCTCCCGGTCTGCACGTTTTCAGTCGGTGACGTTCAAACGCTCCAGCCGGAACCTCGCGCGTGCCATGTGCATGAAGAACCTCAAGCTGACGCTCTTGCTGGCCATTGTGGCCATTGTGAGTAGCGACGCCGGCCGCGTGACATCGCTCGTGTTGATGTCGTCATTTTAGGCGTTGCTTAAAAATAATTCTTCACGTTTCCCGTGCCGGCCGTCGTGCCTGCTGGCGACGCCTCTTTATGGGTCGGGTGTCCTGCGGTCTCGCCAATATGATTCCGCGTGCAAGAACGAGGAAGTGGCCAACACACTCCAAGCAGCATTCTTCTGACAGATGTCTTGAGGCTCATTTGAGGTTTGCTTTGTCAACATCGCCATCATTAACAGCACCAGCAGCGACCACGATCCATCCACTGCTGGATAAAGGCCAACGATCCATCTCGTTCGGTATCTTTATTTGTACCGGAGGAATCCGATGAGCTTATGAAGCTCTTTCTCACGGATGTCCAGTAGTTCCTTCGTGCGAGTTGATCTCTTCAGTCCCCGAGGTGGATGTCCTTGAGGGTATGTTCCCTCCTTGAGCTACCCCTGCATCTCGACCACCGGCCGACGCTCCTGCCAGCGATGCGTCTTGCCCCAAGCGCCCTTTTTTTTCCTTCACAGTCGATACGAAGTCTTTAACTCGTGTGCGTTTCCTAACCCATCTGTCCTCGCAACCTGCACCTTGGCGTAATTGCAAGCGTGCACCTCCCATGCTTCTTAACGACTTCCGTGTTTTTGTTTTAACTCGCGTATGAACTGTTGTTTTGTTCCTACACGGGTTGCCGAGCTTAGTTTTTATGCTTTGACCCCCTCTTGACGCTGGTTTTCTGTCCTCGCCCAGGTCATCATCTACTTCATCGTGTCGGCGGCCTGCGGGGGCCTGGCGTGGCAAAAGTGTGTGAAGAAGTGAGGGTACGGGGCGACACTTGCAGACGGAGAAGGGGGTGGGGGGAGGTGGCCGGGTGGCCCTCGTTCTGCAGATACGGGGCGGGGGGGGTGGAGTGGAGAAAGAGGAGGTGAATGAGAATCTCGCGTCCTCCCGTCCTTCGCTCTCCTCCGCCTTGGGTGAAACAAAAAAAACCTCATGACGGTACCTGCTCCGCTATCGCTCAGACTCCACTCCCCCCTCCCAATAAAGGCCGCTCCCGACAGTGTCGCTAATTTAATCTCGTGGCAGCAGCGCGTGGGAGAGTGGTGGCGCATCTCGCCAAACGTGTGCTGCTGTTATTTTTCTTTTGTGCATTTTTGCGCTTTTACTGCCGGGCGAAAAAACGGCGAGGGTTGGAAGAGCGGCTGTTGGAGTGGACCCACGAACTAACGTGGGCGTGTAATGATTTATAAATTAAAACGCAATGGTTGCGCCCGCGATACAAGCATCCACTCGTCTGCACGAGATTAGATTATTTACGATGTATGCGAATGGTCTGCTCTTACGTTTATGCAAATGGCATCGAGTGAAACCGCAAAGGAGACGGGGAAAAAAATAGAGAATGCAACGAGGTGGTAAGTACGAAACAAAAGGCATGGATTTGTTGTTAAAACCCATGCCAATTGGTACGCAGCATCACCATCCATCGAATCGCCTGGGGCGGTGAATCGTTACATGCCTATCACAAGGGGCAGGCGTCTCGGAGTCTGCGTGTCTCCCTAGATGTCTTCTCACCCACACTTGCTATGAAGCAGTGCGGGAGATGCTGTGAAGCAGATGACACCACGGATCCATATGCGGTAGATTTAACCGTCGCATCCTTCAAACTTTTTTTCCCCTCGCAGCTCGCCGAATCCCGTGTTAGTTCACCTCTACACCCTTAAATTGTGGTGATAATGAAGTCTTACTACGCGTCCTTTAAAAAGTCGACATTCAAACCGGGCCCGGGGAGAGGCGCCGAGGGGTTGGAGTTTGCATACCTGTCAACCCCTTCTCAGTGCCCTACCTTATTACAGACCAATTCAGAGCTTATAAATCTCAATGCTCATCCTACAAAGTCCCATCACAAGGGAGAAACAAACAAATAGACGAACATTTTGTTTGCCTGTAATGAAACGGTTGTACGCCGTATGAACCTGAACTCAAGGTCCCTGTACAAGAATACGGGGTAAACCGTTTGGGTTGGCCGGTATGAGTTTGAGAACCCTCTGTCTTGGTTCTGTCGTCAAATTTGCGATTTTGTCGCCACCAAGTGGAAAAATGTGAAGGTGACGAGCAACATTCAGCAATTTTTTTCTGGGTCGAGGATGTGATGCAGATGCACATATATAGGAGCGATTCCAGTGAGGTATGAAGAAATTATCAGTTTACTATTGTCTAGTTACATGGCTATCAGTATGGTTTAAGGATCCTGTATCAGTTTACGATGTGTAATGCTTGGTAAATTGTCCAGTGATATTTTTGACAGCTTTAAGATGGTCTATCTAGTGACTCGGTTGGGTTGGCCGCTTTCAGGATTTGGCAACGCCTTTGCTGGCGGTGCCTTGAGTTCTAAACCGACGGAAGAGCTCGCCTCCCCCACCATCTCTCTCGCTTCCCTCGCTAAGAAACCATCCCCACGCCCATACTTCACCCTCTCCACCCTGTCTTACCGCAGCCACCCGTCCAGTGAAGCTTACCGACTGGTGGTGCCGTTGCGACCGACCGGCGGAGCAGTGCTTCGCTGTCGTGTAAAGCACCGACGCGTTGCCGATTGTTAATTCTCGCCCGCGGTCCAGTCACCGCCGAGATCCTCTGCTGCCAAGGACGATGCGGAAGACAGATTTTTTGTGGGTGCTGCTGCTGAGCATTCCAAATTTTTTCTGCGCGCTTGCGCTTGTTGCAGCCGCATCTTCGGAGCAGTTTACTTTTAGTGAATGTTTGTGCCACGATCGCAGCCTCGGCTCGCGCAGCCCCGAGCTCGTGCCGATTAGCCAAATGCGTTGTATTGTCCATCTTCGGGGGTTCTATTGAGTGTTGGGCGAGTTCAGCGGTTAGCCACGCCCTCCCTGGATTATGCAGATCGCAAGTTCGCTTCTCCACGTCGTGCACCGTTCCGGTGTTTGACTCGCCGGCCGGTTTCAGGAACCGCTAATTGTGCCGCTTAGTTTAGTGGTATGCCATCATTGCCGGCCGTGACTCACAGTGACGGCAGCGTCGAAGTTCACAAGCGGCCAATCGTTGGCGCGACTCGCGCTGTGACGTGTGCCGCTGCTGGCTTGTTTTTTTTTTAGCGGTGTCCGTCCGGATCCTTTGCCAGGAAGGATTAAGAGCAACACCACTCTCCCGTTTTTACTCCCACGCCGTCTTTTCTCATGTGCAATCTCTAGTTGACACGGCCTCGACTCGGGTGTCGCCCGTGGTTCCCGTCGCCCCCTCCGTTGTTCCGAGTCTATTCCCGGTTTTTCCTCGCGTTATCTACTGCAGTAAACGGCAGCGTCGACCGCCCTTAAAGGTGTGCTGCACATACGAACTTATCGTCGAATCATTACTTACTGATTTTTTAGTTGCACCTGAGAAGTTGTAGATTGCCTATTTTATTTAAGCGTTAATCAATGCTTCTCTGTTGCCACGTCTGTCTTGTCATGTCACTCGTTGGACATGGAGGAGTATCACCTGAGTGTTGTGAGCGTGCGATCCAAGTCGGCCCGTTAACGTTCGCACCGCTTTTGTTGCGAAGCTTTCCCGAATTTTATCCCCATTGCGCTTTTGGGTTTCGCGTCACGAGACACGAAGCATCCACTTGGATTTTTCAAAGCAAGTACGACCCTTGTTGCAGACCGGCCCACAGAAGTGGATACACCACAGCAACCTCTGAGATTCCCTGAAGTGACCACTGTTCCACACAGAAGAGGGGGTAGCACTTTCTCTGCACGGGAGAGTAATGTGACGCCGCTGGAATGTAGCCAAATTGAGTGTGGAACAAAATTTGACGCTATATTGAATTTTGTGCAGTGATTGGTCAACGGGCTGAGACCATAAACTTCACTGCACCAAAGGCACCCGTTAAAATCACTTGCGGCCTGCCTGAATTCAAACCCAGGCTATCAGTGGTGAGGGCTCGGTGCTGTCACCCTAGCCGCCACCCAGTCACAGGCTCCTGATTTTTAATACCCAGACTTCACTCGGAAACGATTCCACATCGCGTTCGCCTGTAAATCTAATCCCCCCCCCACCATACACAATCGCGTTTTTCTCCTTGACTGATGGTCGTACGAAGGAACAGCGAGCCAGTTATTTGCAACAAAATCTCTCGACGTTGTGTCCCACGCGATTTGTCCGAGCGTGTCAAATTGGCGGCGGCCGTTTTCGCGGCGCCGCTAATGCACCCCTCCCAAACCCTCTGTGCTGCAGGACCTTTATGGGGACGATTTGGTTTGCGTCGCTGCAGATGTCTTGCATTGTAAGTTGCACCTTTAGTGCCATGTGTTATTTCCAGTTGCGATTAAAGTTTTGTTGTGAATATATTTGCCGTCACTTCAGACTCCCTTCTGCTTTCCTTCTTGTTGACTCCTGGCTTTTGCCAAAATTTATATTGGTTAATTTGTAAGGTTATATGTAACTCAAGGTGTGCAGTGTTTTCATGGTTTAAACATTAAACGTTACCACTTTCCCCTCCCAAAATTACAGGTTAGCATGTTGGGTTTTCTTGGCCAAATGTTACTAAATGTTTGTCTTGTGTTATTTAGTAGCAATTTGTACATTTTACAAAAAGTATGTTAAGCTGTTTTTGTAAAAAAAGGCCAATTTTTCACTTTAAAGCAAAAAAACCTCAAGATTGTTCACTTTAGTGTATTTTATTCTTGGCCACTGATGTCAGCTGTGGCCGGAAATGGAACACAAGTCTCTGAGCTCAATGCAGTGTGCTAATTACCATGCCACCACTCTTCCACCCCAAAACATTAACACACAAAATTTAAACGCACAATTGTTTACAAATACCGTTTAATACTTTGCAAATATACAGAAGTAACAAAACAGTTTTCTTTAGCGAGAGTTCTGGACGTTTTACAAGCCAACTGTCTCTGAGAAGCCACCGATTTAATAAAGGAAGACTCGACCTGCATAACAAACAGCTGCATGTGATGGGCTGCTTTCGCACAACTTTGAAACCTTGATGGAATGAATCATCCAGCAATATGCACTTCCTTTGTAATCCATGGCAGACATTCGCATCACTTCCTGTAGGCCTCAAACTGGCTTCCCCAACCTCCAATATATAATATTGCAAATCACCCTGGAAGGAGAGACTGTAAAGATCCGGTCAGGCATATTTTTTGTTATCGCACTGGTGACTGCACTGACATTAAACCGCACTGGAGTAGTGTAGCAGTCTCGAGCTGTGGAGGATCAAATTATAATTTAAGTATTTTTTCTTACTAGCAAAAGTTTTAAACAGCTCGAGACAGTCTATGTACAGATATTTAAGGTTATAGCATGTCTTCCAGCTGTCCAATGTTCTTCCACATTATACAGCGTGTTAGCATGATGTCCAACATTTCACGCCATCTGATGGGAGCTTGGTCAGGACCTGAATTGAACATGATTGTACAACCCAAAAAACACATTGGAGAGCTACAAGAAAACCAAAAAAACGCAACCTATGCAGCATGTCTTCTAGGCTGCATCTTCCTATAATGACAAATGGAATAAATCTTTCCCCATAAGCTTAAATCCACAATTATTTATCGCACGTACTCACATTCACACATACCACCCCCACCACAGATAGTCACTAGTTTTCTTTTCATCAGCAAATTTTTTTGCTTCTGATGTTAACAAGCCCACACTCCCGCCAAGCCGTCTCCTCCGATTTCCGATCAGCAAAGTGGATGACGAAGAACGCCGGGATATTTTTGGAATGTCGGCGTCGCTGACAGCAGAAACAAGTACATGTAGAGGGTGGCCGAAAGCTCCGGACACACGGTTATATTTATTTTAACAAATTTTCAAACTGCCCCCATTAACATAAATGCACGCATATATTTTGAAATTACTGCTGTAATCTTTGAACATTCTGAAACTGTTGTGTCAATTTATTCAACGGTTCTTAGTCGAGTTTTCTAAACGACGGTTTTGAGGTGACCCCACATGAAGAAGAAATATATATTAGATAAAATATTTACTTAAATAAAACAATGCTTTCATGCCAGTGTTAAATTAAATAACCCTATGTGTCCTGACTTTCGGGCCACCGTGTATAGTTATTTTGATGTATTATGCATGTCTGTAGAACTTATTTCGCACCGTACGTAGCCAACCGTGATAATTGGAGGTATTAAAAGTGTCGATGTGCAGCACACCACGAAGGGACCAGGACGGTCATTTTACTTTTTGTAAAACGGCGGTGTGGCGATGCCTTTGGTGCGGTCTAAACACCGTGGTCGTGCACCCAGGAAGGATGCAAAGGGTTCCCCTCCTTGTGCCATGAGGATCTCGCATGGGGAAAAACAAGTGGAAGGCAGGCCCAACCTGCTGGCAAAACGTACCGACTGGTGCTGCTCACGGAGAAAATGGTAAATCTTTGACACACTGGACGTTCCTTGATGCCAATGTCAGAAATGCTTCTCGATTTCCAAATCAGGTCAAGTCCTTAAAAAAAAACCCAGCGTGTTTTGGCAAGGGGAAATGTTTTTTTGCAGATTTTTTTGTTAGGGTCCTCTTGTACGACCTTTCATTCTCGAGTTACAAGCGGATTGACGAACATCTTTAAATTGAGCTGCACAGACGACGACATGGATACTTGCGTCTGCTGCCACGAACGTAACCCGGTTCGTGAAAATTCTCCCCTTTTAGGAAACAACCCGTCGTAAGTAAGCGCCGCCAATCGAAGAGAAAAAAAGAGTACATTCTTCTCAGGAGTTCTCTTAAATTAAAACGGACAAAAAAAAAACATAGAAAATAAAACCGGGGAAAAATAAATCACAAACGCAACGAAATGAGAGGATTGCACTTTAAAACCGGGGTGTGGAACCTGCCTTTCGCAAGGCACTGCGGGCACACGAGGCCTACTGCTTCAAAATGGCCCGCAAATCACATTAATCCATCGCTGCACGCAGCATCTCATGGTTGCACTAGTCGGTTACTAGAAGGGAATGTTACCCACCTGGAAACAGTGTTTCTCATGCTATCACCCTCAGTCACTTCTGACAATACAAGGCCCTCCTTTATTATCATTGGATAATGTTGGTATTAACGTTTGGCCCGCCAAAGGTATTTGAAAGTTCTACCCGGCAATCGGTAAGAAAAAGGTTGGCCACCCCCTGTTTTAAACCAAAACAAGGACAACAAATAATGACGCGGCTGCGACGCAATAATCGTCACTTCCATTCGGTGCGGGGACGAGAGATTGAATTTTTGTCGCACGAGACGGAAACACCACGGACGCCACACGCATCGCACCGTCACTACACGCGGACGTTGTAAAACCAACAGAGCCCCTGGGTGAAGTTCCATCCCAGCGCCAACGACAGCACGTACAGAAGCGCTAGTGGCGCCATGGGGTACAGCAGCAGCACCGTGTTCTTCAGGAATGGCAGCACTGCGTCACGCACGCACAGGAATACACGTGCAGCACTTTGTCAATCTACCACTCAACGCTGTCACTCAGCATCGCATTTATCACATTTATCACACAGTACAAACGCAAGAATCTGTCTAAACTGGACCCCTCCCCCCCTCCCTGTACGCACGCGTACTTTTTACACCCCCCCCCCCCCACACACCTGCGTATATACGCTTGACATCCACCCCCCCCAAATCCGAAAGATCGGCCGATTTTTTATCCACGCAGAAACGATCAATGATGAATAATATTAACGTGTTTAAGCAAACAGTCCACCGCCAGCTGCATTATTATTTGGTTCTTTCGGTAAAGGCCCGTAGATAGAAAAAATTAAAGTAAATAAAATAAAAACTACGACGTTTCGATCACAACACAAGTGATCGTCATCAGGAGGAAAAAGGGATTATTATCAAGGTTTCACCCCCTCCCCCCCGTTTCCTATGCATACGTACATTGTCAGTTGACCATGCGATACGCAAGCGTATGCATTTGGGTTAACCCCCCTCCATGCGTACGTACTAAATGGATGGCTCCGTATCATATCGCTAAAAGTCACTCTGCACCCACACACTGGCCGATTTCAGAATTTCGAGAGGATGTCCCAAGGTCACTATTCTTACCCACCGGCCATCATCCGTCCTAAGTGACGTGTCCTGCCAAAGCAGTAACCCACTTCGTAACTACACACAATCCATATGCAGATATTGTAAAGTGTTTGAAACGTGGCATCCGAAGTTGTCGAACCTCTCACATCTTATATTACTCGTGAGTTGCCGTGCTGCCAGGCTCACCGTTGTAGCCAAGGAAGGTGATGTAGATGTAGTAGCCGATGGCGACGAGCCACAGCGTGTTTCCCACGAAATATCCGATGAACCAGTCCTGAATGATGACTCCTGCACGCAGAGGAGACATGACTACATCAGCCGCGGCGTGCAGTGACACGGAAAACTTTCAGTACACTTTGCTCTTTTGAAAATTATAATTTTTTTCCCCAAAATGCTATCCTGGTTGCGCTATCGGCATCGTGTCGCGAGACAAAGAACCCGTTTGGAACTTTCTCAGGGTAGCACAACGCATAGAGGACGGTTCTGGATATCACGGACCTGCTTTTTGAGATCCCTCCATGTGACCTTTGATCCACACAGTAGAGGGGGCAGCACTTTCCCACCCACCCACTCACGCTGTTGCAGAAAAATGTTCGTTGCATGACAAGCAACCCGTTAGTTATAATTCTCAAAAGTGGAACTCTGCCAAAGCAAGCACAGAGCCAAATTTATTATGAGATTTGTTTTGCTGTGCCCATTAATGAGCGGGCTTAGAACATCAACTCCCTTAAATTTGGAATCACGTTTTAATCACGAGTTACTGCCCAGATTCGAAATCCAGGTTCTCAACTGTGGCGTACTATTGATGAAGAACAGCTGGATGAAGTGCAGGATGATGAGGAGCGGGAAGAAGGCGTTGAGGTGAACATCGAACGCGTAGCCCCACTCGACGTCACTCTCCCGTACGCCGCGGCCCATGAGGTATCGATTCGATATCAGCCTGGATCAATCATACAAAGAAAAAGATTCCCTATATATCCATACAGGCTCTGAGGTCAAGTCCTGTTACCAAGCACCTATGAGATCCAGCACGGTGCACAAATGAGTAGTGTGGCCAGCACCATTTCCTGCCAACTTTGTCTCCCTAGTGCTAATGCTTTGAAACCGCACCTGGTACTCATTTAAAATTGAGTTGGAACAAAGGCAGGCCCAGGATTGGTGCAGATATTCACCAATGATGTTAGTGATGAGCGGATATTTAATACAGGTCGCCAGAATCATAGCACAGTATGCAATCCACGACACTACTGCTTCCCACTACATAACTAATGCAGTGATTAGGAGGCCATGGTGAAACTCAAGACACCACACCAGGTACGTTTTCAGGTTCAGATATTCGCTATCGATGTTGGCCATGACCAGAAATCGAACTTGGGTTTCCAGGTTGGTATTATTGCAGTGTGCTCACCACTACTTTTCTGCACACACATATACACACACACACAGTCCCTCTGCCCAGACGTAAGTTGGAGGGAATGGAGCCACCCACCACATGAGCGTCGATATGAGAAGCCCCACGCCGATGCAGTCGATGAACACGACCCACAGCAGCAGCTTCAGGGTGTTCAGGAAGCTCATACTCAGCACAAAGCCAAACCCCAATGTCGACACTAAAGACACAGCGACGACAAAAATAACCTTCATCCAGAACACATACAATAGGCAAGTACCGATCGCCAAGTACCACGGTTCAAATAATTCTTAAAACTGTCTGTAATGAAACTGAGCTGTCTAGCTAGTGTAGCTGATGGTCTCAATTCAGTTACCAATGATTCCAGAATTAGATTTTTTAGCTGTCACTCATTTTGGATTTTCCAGTTCAAAGAAAAAAACATGACTTTGCCAAGTGACACACAACTCTACAGCAGGGCGTGCGCATAAGAAGGTGCACTGCCTGTTAATGATCAGTGGCAATTCAAGGGACCTCAAGTAGATCTGCAAAGTTACCTTCCAGAGCCCATTCAGAAACAAGGGAAGATATCACACTGCTTTTTGCGAGAGTTCTGAATTAAAATATCTTCATCTCATTATATTCCTCCACGTCTCCAGCAATGTATTTACAAAGGGATGTACTCTATATTGCAACATTATATTGACAGCGACATTAGAACACAATTGAGAATAACACACAAACTAGCTTAGAGGGTAGTATATAATTTATATAATATAGTATATAATTTCCAAGCAATTTAACGAGGTAATTTCATTCCACTTGTAATATGTAATTAGTATCTCAATTTAAAAGTAAATGGTAATTGTATTTAAATGACAAAAGACATGGCTAACTGGTAAATTTAATCTACATAACGTGATTCCACTAATTTGTTATTTTAATGTATTTTGCCCATTTCTGGGCAAAATTTAGAATTTGACGCATTCTGATTCGCGATGTTTGCCACCGAGCCCGCAGATTGGAACGGTCTACCCTAAAGAAGCAAGAACCATTTATTCCACAGATTCAAATTTGTATACACTTAAAAAATAATCAGGAACTGATGAAGGCAGATCCACTACAACCCCACACACAGGAGGGGTGACGCCTGGCTCAATGTCCCATTAGGGCTCCTGCCGGCATAAGCTAATTAAGATCAAGTTCACGACCTCATCTCCTGCTTCTCACCACACAGCCAGATGCTGAGCAGCACGAGGAAGGCAGGGTCATCCCTCGCCCACTGGTCCTTGGTCTGCTTGCGGTAGTGGAAGTTGCGGTAGACCTTCTGCGGCGCCGTGAACAGGTAGAGCATCTGCCACGTGGCAAACTCGAAGTCCATCTGGCGGAAGCGCAGCAGCCTGCGCAGGTAGCGCGAACGCTTGAAGCAGGCTGTGGCCGGCCCCGCGTCGCGCCCGTTTGCCCGCGGCTGGTTTGACGAGGGCAGCATTGCGGCCTGACTGCCCCCGGCCTCTCAGCGACGATGGGGCTCCGGATGAGCCGTCAACGAGCAAGTTGGGTGTAGACCTGGGGGTCAATTATAGTTACAATTACAGCAGCATTGTTGGCAGAAATTACAATTACATTAGGACTGTTAATTATTATAAATGTACGTATGTTGAACTTATTTCGCGCCGTACGTAGCCAACCGTGTTAATCGGAGGTGTGGGACAACTGACATGATGGGCAAATGGAATTGACACCTGGTATGGTTGAAGGGTGGTTGGGTGGGTGGCTCAGTGGGTGAATGTGACCGAATTCGCGGGTTGGTAGGGCAGTTAGTGGATTTGTGATTGGATTCGAGTGGGTGGCTGAGAGAAGTTGCATCCGAATGAATTGGTTGGACTGTTTGGCGATAGATGGGGTGAGTCGGTCAGTGGGTGAGTAAACGAGTTAGCGGGTGAGTGTAACTTCGTGGTTGGGATCGTGTGTTAGTGTAGGTAGGTGAAGGGGTGGGCAACTGGGTGAATGAGTGGTTTATTGAATGGAATGCATTAACGTGACGTCTGGTGTGTACCAACGGTACTTGGGGTAGTTATACTGTGTACGTAAAACAAACAAAAATTACTAACAAAAATGAAAAGCTCAAATTGTGAACTGCTGGAGATGAGATTGGAGGTATAATTTTGAATGGCCGGAGGGCTATTCAGAGTGACTGGTTGTCTCGTTGGTTATGCTGGTGAAGGTGATGATCAGTTGGAGAGCCAAGTGCTCGCTTGGCTACGGAAGGGCAGGCGTTTGGTTCGCTCGCGTGCTACGCTCAAAAACGAATGCCCCTCTCTACCTCCTCCTCGCAATGTTTGACCTTTTTCATATTCTATTCGTTTCGCATTTAGTCCATGACGTCCGCAACTTTTCGGGTACAAAGGGTGGCGCGGCTCATGCTTTGTGATCCAGCACTTTGCAGGCTGAATCGCGCTCAGATTTTTTTGTTTGTGTACCCATGAAACTCTCAAACCCCGCTGTGTTTGTCGGGTAGATAGCAAGTGGTGGTAGATTCGTAGATTCGTAGATCCGCCTGTGCGGACCTTTGAGCGTTTACCTCCCCAAACCCCGTCGCGGACAAGATGACACTGCCCCAAATATAAATACGCAGGCGGTGTGTACTGTATCTGCAATTTACCGACTGTAAAAAAAGCATTGGGAACGGAGAAATCACTTAAAAGAGAGAGAAGTTTAATCTCTAATCGGCCACGGGGAATCACCGCCGCCACCCCCTCATACCGTGGTGCGTTTTCTCCGATCGTCTCCCACGCGATGCCACTAATTAGAGGAATTAGCCACGAATTATTGTAATTGGCAATAAAAAGAGTCTTGAGGCTCGGGCTAACCTGGGCATCGCTCGACTTTATTTTAGACTTCACTCACAAGAAGCCAGAGACTTTACATTTGCTAAATGAGGCTGAGGGGGTTTTGGAAAAAAAATGTTCGACGAAGCGATGCGGATTGAAACAGCTCAGGGCTTTATACTCGCGGATGTTTGTATTCATCTTAAAACAAACATAAACCTTAGAACACAAACAAATATAATACGGGGGGGGGGGGCTAAATAAAAAATAGCCGCGTTAACAACCAACAAAACGATACAACGTATAAGCAGCATCTCCCGAGAACCGAGCAACCCGGTTGGACCCGCGCTGCAGTCACGTGCGCCGCGACGGCCAACCAGCGCGCCGACTCGCGCATCCTCGCTACGGTTTACAAAACGCGGCCTGCGGCTGTTACAACTTTAACCCGCCCCCCGTTCTCCTCCTCTCCTCGCAGCGCGACGCAGGCGAATCCCCTCGCGCACACAACGCGGGGCGATCGCACGCGGTGCGAACATCCCCCACGGCCGATCGTCAACGCGTGTTTCCGCGACACACCACCTGCACAGGGGGGGGGGCGGGGGGTGTTCAACTTGAACCCAAGTTCCGCCTCTGCGCTCGCTTGGCCCGGCGGGGTTGAGGGGGTGAGGGGGGTGGGGGTCACGAGTGACGTGGTGGAGGGGGGCGGGGCACCGGCGGCCGTTGCTGGGAAAAAAAAATCTGTGGATGCGAGAGACGCCCTCGGGGCACCTCGAACACGGAGCCACCCGGCGCTAGAAGCGACACCTCCCGCCCCCGGGGCGATTCGTGTTTACAAAGCTGCTCGCGTCGTACATCCAGGAAACGTCGGTGATCGAACTTCCGTCGATTCCTCTCACAGTGTCGATTCCACGAAATCGATTAATTGAATGACGACACAGTGCGTTGGCAAGGTCACGTGCGGTGTGGGAACGCCCACATCCTCCCAGACACGTCTGGCCGGCGTGGAAGAGGAGACCAAAGTCAACCCTCTGGACCAGTGACGTGCGGTGAGGTCAATGGCTGGGGAGGCACTGGCTAGTTAGTGTCAGCCAGATTCACACACTGAGGGGGCGTGGCCTCACGGAAGGGGCGTGGCCTCGTTGAGGGGGGCGTGTTAGACACGTCTCCCTCAGTGAGGCAGATGTGATGGCTGCCTCCCCTGGTACTTTTTCATTGCAGTTTCATGACGAGACCAGCGAGCCTAATTATCTTTATACACGTACGTGAAATAAGTTGCCTGGAGTATGGAAGGCGAGGACATGAAATGAAGGGGTCTACAAACATTACATTGGTGACATACTGAGATAGTAACAGGCACGCGTTTATTGCCCGCGCTCCATCCAGTTACTGAGGGGTTGCGCAATCAGAGGGGAGGCTGAGCTCGTCGCTGTCTCACCTCTCGTCTCTCCCTGTATTTGCAGCGGAGCTCCGCAAATTTGGCGATTTTGACTATAAAAATGATTAGAATTGTACAGAAATGACATTTATAACACAGATCGGTGGAAATATCTTCATATTTTTATTTTATTATTCTTTTTTTTTTACTTTTCGTAACAGCTATTTTAATTGGAGTATGACAGGTGAGGCTCTGCCTCCCCTGCCTCCCCTGACCGTACGTCCCTGCTCTAGACGTCCTAGAGGGGGCCCTCTACAGTGGAGGCTCTCCCGCCAGCAGTGGCGTGAGAAAGATATTGCAGGGGGTGTGCCGCGGTGGCTAGGAGATGTCAACTACCTCGCCTGGTACGCAGGAGGTCGTAGGTGCGATCCCGACCCTGACGCCTGCTGCTGTATATTTGGAGTTTCCACGTCTCTCTCTCTCTCCCCCCTGGGTTGCGTGGATTTTTTTATCAGGGTCCTCCGGATTTTCTCCTTCCACATTTTGAATCAACATCACGCGTTTAGATTATTTGGCTGCTATTGTGGAGTGACTCATGCAGTCAGCTATGGCTACAGGGTTTGGTGGTACATGTTGCTTGTGTCGTTTATTGTGAAATTTCGGTCACAGTGCCTATGATCAACTGTTACATTGCTTGTATGGCTTTATTTTGGTGTTTTCGAAAAGTTTTTTGGGTTTGGCCATGTTTGTTTGTTGTAGTACGGAGTTCAACTGATGGCTTTAATCTAAGTTGTCTTGTGGTTGTTGTTGTTGTTTGACTTGCATCCCACTGGGGTTTTTGCACACAGCGTTTGGTGTACGGTGCTTTTTTATGGAATATTTTGCTGTTTTTTTCCTGGATTTTCTGTTTGCACAAAGGCACACATAGTCACTTTAAGATGTTTTCTTGTTCATGTTTTTGTTTTTTTTGTTTGTTGCAGTTGCACCCGATTCAAGAGCCGAATGGCTCACAGGGCTATACCAAATAAATGAAACTGAAACTGAAACATCTCATTGAGCGATCATTTGCGCTCGTAAGTCGGGCGCTCGTAAGTCGGGCGCTCGTAAGTCGGGAGCTCGTAAGTCGGGAGCTCGTAAGTCGGGCGCGCGTAAGTCGAGAGGACTCTCACAAGAATTTCATCGCGAGTGATTGCACAGAATCGATTTCCGGATCGAGAGTGCGATAACGAGGGAATCGAATCGTTACGGACCCAAGCTCAAACTCGGCGTGTGCCCGCTCACGGTCACGCAGTCAGCACCGCGCGCTCCCGTGCGAGGCGATTTTTTTTGCATTAAACGCGCAAACGAAACTTTAATATTTTGTGTCGGAGTAAAACACCAATAACTGGTGATCGTACGTTTTTGTTACATTAGGCGGGGGTGTCTCAGTGTTAACCCGCCCAGCAGAAGACGGGAAAGCGGCTCGGGTGAGTTCGAGGCCTCATCATAACAATGCACGACCATAACATTGCGCTCATAAATCGAGGGGTTTTGTCACGTAAGCAGAACGTGGCCCAATTCGTGGCTTGGTACAGCAACAGCCGCGTGTTGGAGAGCAAATACTACGACAACATTTACAGTCTAGCGGGTTTAACGACGCACAATGACGTGATCATAACCCCCCCCCCCCCCCCCAACAAAAAAGCCTGCATTATGGATAACATCGGTGACGAAAGCCCCAACGTGTTAACCAAACATTGCACTTCGTAATACATTGGCACTGCTGTGACCCCCTTCGTTTGTTGTGCCACTGCTGGATTGAAGGCCTCGCCGCACGCGCACAGCTTTGTTTGCCCATACTTCACCATGTACAGGACTTGGACTTCACCACCACGAACTTCACCACCACCACGTACTTCACCACGTACTTCACCACCACCACGAACTTCACCATGAACTTCACGTACTTCACCACCACTACACCACGAATTTCACCACCACCACGTACTTCACCACGCACTTCACCACCACCACGAACTTCACCACCACGTACTTCACCACCACCACCACGAACTTCACGTACTTCACCACCACCACGAACTTCACCACCACCACGAACTTCACCACCACCACGTACTTCACCACGCACTTCACCACCACGCACTTCACGCACTTCACCACCACGTACTTCACCACCACGAACTTCACGAACTTCACCACGCACTTCACCACCACGTACTTCATCGCATACTTCACTACCACGTACTTCATCGCGTACTTCACCACCGCGTACTTCACCACCACCACGTACTTCACCACCGCGTACTTCACCGCATACTTCACGTACTTCCTCACCGCCACGAACTTCACCGTGCCGGTGAGTGCAAGTCGGTGAGCACGCGAGGCCCCCGGGGCCGGTTCCTCGGACGTCGCTCCTGAGCCACCCATTTGTGGGCCGTGGTCCGCGACATCGAAATTCGCATCGCGGTTCGCTAACCGCTGCGCCACCGCTCCGCGCCGTGCGTCTTCGTTCTGTCGCAGTTGGCGCCGCGAGGCAATGTCACTGCAGCGTGCAACTCGGGCATGTTGTACTCTCGCGAAAAGGCGTTGCTGGAGGCTTCCGTGTTCATCTTCGTTGGTTCTTTCGGTAAAGTCACGTAGAATGAGAGTAAAATAATAAAATAAAATAACACAATAAAATTCTCACGACATTTCGGCCACAACACAAGTGGCCTTCATCAGGTGAAGGGACTGGACTGTCCAGAGGACAGCGTTGGAGTGAAGGCCACTTGTGTTGTGGCCGAAACGTCGTGAGGATTTTATTGTGTTATTTTATTCTCATTCTACGTGACTTTACCGAAAGAACCAAAGAAGATGAATCCTTGCAGTCACGAAAGCTTTAAATCGAAATTTAGGCTTCCGTGTTGTTGAGCTGACGATGGCGGTGATGAGATGTTGAGTAACCCACAGGGGCTACATAATGGGTAGAGGGCAGTGCGGCAAAAACAAATTGGACTGTACTTGTATGTCCCCCACCTTTACCTGACCCGGTGTGTTGGTGGAGTACGGTCAAATAACCCCCACGGAAATTGTATTAACAACATGGGTGTACAAACAAGATGATGACGATGATGGAAGTCCGAGAACCAGATCCGGGATCGGTTCATCAAGAACATCATGTCGGCAGTGATGTTGAGTGGCAGTGACGACGATGTGATGTTGATGGGAGAGAGTGCTCTCGATGCCGAGTGGCGATTATAGAGAAGGCTCGGGCGGGCGACGCCCGTGACCGGTGGAGCGATGCCGGCGTACTACGAGGACAAGCCGGTGGACTCACGCCCGTGCGCGGGACTGCGCGAGGATCTACGCTCGTGTCTCGTGAAGAGCGACTGCGTCAAGGTGCCCACCCGCTCTCTCTCATATTCACTCGCTCGCTCTCTCATTCACCCGCTCACTCATTCACTCGCTCGCCCACCCGCTCACTCATTCACTCGCTCACCCGCTCTTTTTGTATTGACTCGCTCGCCCACCCGCTCCCTCTCATTTCACTCGCTCCCTCTCATTTCACTCGCTCGCTCACCCATTCTCTCTCATTCACTCGCTCGCCTGCTCTCATTCACTCGCTCGCCCAACCGCTCTCTCATATTTACTCGCTCCTCAGCTCCTTCACCCACCCATCCGCTAATACTCTCTCATTCGCTCGCTCCATCCCTTTTAAACCACAAGAAATTATTTTATTTTACCAGGTATAGAGCAACTACCAGCTCATTCACCTGATCACTAACCCACTTGCCCAACTGCTCAACTCACTCGTTCATCCACTTCGCCTGCTTTGCGCGGCGCGTGCAGGCAGGGAACAGCGCCAAGGTGTGCCTGCGGACCGACAGCACCCTCGAACCCATGTGCAGAGCCCTGCAGATGTCCTTCTTCGAATGCAAGCGATCTCTGGTAAATGTGTGCGATGGCTTTTCAATTGAAACATAGTTTTAATGACAAATTGCCCCCTTTGTTAATTCACCGCCGGGTGAAGGCATCCCCTTGCCGCCCGTAGGGGGTTATTTGACCATACTTCGCCATGCTGATTAATGGCGGGTTAACGCAGGGGGGGGGGGGGGCAGGACCGGTTCAGAAATTGCTCACCACGAATAGTAGCCGTGGTTAGGAATCGAACAAGTTCATAGCGCAGTATGTCAGTGTGTGGCTTTGTCAGGAGTGAGAATAGATGTTGCTGCGCGCTCTCAGCACATGCTCCCCCACTTGCCTGGAGCTGGCACGGCAGTCAAGGCTGTACTTGAATCACAAGCACATGACAGAAGCACTTCCTGAATGTCACTTTAAAGTCACTTTCCTAATGAGCGAATCTACAGACTCATGTTAAGTTTCCACAGCCTGTGCGAATCTAAAGCAGCTATTTGTTTTTGTAATGCCTGTTTTAAGTGATATTTTCACGTTTTTTGTCGTTTCTTTGGCCAGCTGGACAACAGAACACGTTTTCGAGGGCGGAAGGGTTACTGAGCAGTGTTGAAACAAGGGGACATCTCGACCATTTATTAAACACAATGACCCAGCATCACCGTTGTCTCTTGGAATGGCTACGATTATGCTTTGTTTTGTTTAACTACTTTGTAAAAAGCATACAACCAATAATAAATAAGTGAAAACAAATGCACTTTGTCCAATATCTTTATTCCTTTTCGCTTCTTGTAAATTAGTGTTTGAGAGTTGAAGCAACAGCAAAGTGTGACCCACAGCAATCTGGACAATGTCAATCAAAACAACTTAGGTGACCGTGTTGGCAGGCAGTGGTGTGAGCACAAATTCACAATGAAAATACTTTACCACCACCATCACGAACAAACAACCCTGGTACTTAAAGTACAACTCGAATCGCCACCTTCATTAAAACTAAACCAAAATCCAATGACCAGATCACCTGGAATGTGATGATCTCATCAGATGCTGGACGTTGATCTGGATGGCGCTATTAAGATAGAGCCACTGCCCAAAACGTCTCCAATTATATATTTTGAAGGCAGTGTTCACAAATATGTTGAGTGTTTTTGGGTCGTACTGGATGTGACCATCGTGCATAAAATGGGTTGTTAACGGGGCTACGTTGTGGAAACTAGAGGGCAGTGCGGCAAAATCCATTTTACTATACTCCCACGTCTATGCTCTCCGCCTTCAATCTGCAGAAAACAGCATGGTTAAATAACCCACACTACGTGGGGGAGGTCTTCACTCAGCAGTGGATTTACAATATGGCTGTACATATTCATATACACACAAATAAATGTAGACTACAGTTTGGTGCAATGGTTATCTTCAGAACCACAATGCACCATGATAATTATACCACATTCACATTGGAGTGGTCTTCTGGAGATAAAAAAAACATAACCCCCAAATGTTTAAAGATAACCCACTCCAGCTTAATTGGAACACTTTACAAACCGCATTTTTTGTATCATCTCCCCACAGAATGCACCTGAATAACTTGATTTTAATCCACCGAATTTACCTACTTTCTGCACAATGAGATATAATGGATGAGGCTTTTATTCCAGGACAATCTTGCTCAATTAAGAAATTGATAACAGCAAAAGCGTGTTTATGTCTGGCATATTCCTGCTTTGAAGAACGGCCAATGCCAGAATTTTTAACCCCTTTTATTAAGTGGTGTTCTTAATGAAGGTGGCGAGAGTATTGATTCATACATGCTTAAGTACGAACTTTTTTTATTGAAAAACACAACAATAATGTTTTTACCAATGGCGCCTGTCTGCTCTTAAGCAGAGCCAAGGTCTGCCAAAATGTCTATGTCATTGTCCTCTTCTAATCATAATTACGGTGGTAAAGTATTAATTCAAGGACAGACGCTTCTAAGTCTGGCTACACACATTAGTCGCAAACGATGCTGATGGCAATGATAACCTTAATAAAAAAAAATACAACAGACGACAATAAATTACTACGTCGACATTGCGCATGCAACAGTTAAAGTCGCGACGCGTTCACTTAAATGTACACCGCTTTTGTGCCACACGCTGACGTTAATACTGCACGAGTTGCATTTTAGAAAACGAGGCTGAACAGCTGCTAACGTGGCGACGGGAAATTACACCATTGGAGGCTGCATGCAAACGGAGGTTGCTATTACGAAGTGAAATAAGGTATAAAAAAACGTTACTGTCAGAGTCCTATTCTGGCCTTGGGTGTTTATAGTTGTTGGGACTTCCGTAAGCCTTTGCTCGGCCTGTCATGGTGCAGAAAAACCACTGAACAGCAGTCGATTACACGGATCACGCAAAGCGACATTCACCCCACTGCTCAAAACAACTCCTTTCGAACAAACTCCCGCACACACACGCATGCACGCACACATGCACGCACGCGCACGCACGCACACGCACGCACGCACACGCACGCACGCACACGCATGCACGCACACGCACAGCGCTACCCTGGGCACACACCAGCCCGATTCATAGCCGAGCGATACGAAAGACAAAATGCAATTGAATTTCAGTTTGATTGCACGTTAACGGGCTTACGTGGATTCAAAATTATGAATTTACTAACATTTAACGTAACGGCAATGAAATGTTTTTATTTATTCTGTAATACATCTTGTTTGATAGTTACTATGCTTTGCAGTTGGATTGTTAAGTATTGCGTAACACCTTGGGCCTGACGGGCACCATATTAACGCAATGTCCTGTTATTCCTTACATTTTAACATCAATTTAGTCTGAATTTGATACAAATGTAGATACCAATCTCCAAAGCATGCTTTTAGAGATTGGACAATTTAGCAGCCGATTTGTGGCTTTGACATTTCGATCACGTCAGCAGTGAGTGTTGTGACTTGTCACGTCCCCCCCCCACACCCAATTTTTTATCGCGTCAGTTTAGGAATCCAAAACCCACCCAACGAATCGATCCCCAATTGGACCATGATCGCAAATTAACCGAGCCTGAATCGGGCTATATTGTACCGCCCCGGCTTAGAATCGCTTGTACGCCTTCACCGCTCCTACTCGCCCGTACCCCCCACGGCTCAGCACGGGCTACGTGCTCAGCCCAATCGGCTCCTGAAGACGGCGGGGCTAAAGCGCGAGGTTGCGGCTCGGGAGGGGAGGCGTCCGCCAACTACTTGCGCTTGCTCTTCGAATCGGTGGTCTGGAAGACGCTGGATGCCGACATGAGGTTCTCGATGTACTGACCCAGGACCTGGTTCTCGGACTTCAGCTTCAGGTTCTCCTCCTTCACGGCATCCACACGCGACGAGAGGTCTGCGGCGGACAGGGAGGGGGGCGGCGATGGCGATGAGAAACGCGCATCTCCCATGGCAATGACGAATCGTTTTGGTTGTGGGAATGGATCACTGGTTCATGGTAAAAAAGAGACAAGCGACCATCTTATCTTGTATAGATGTATATAGCTACTCAAAACGAGGCGCTTTACCACAATTCTAAAAGTGTACATAAGACTGCGGTTAAAATAAAGAGTGGGGTTACAGGACAAGTAAGAGTGGTTAATGAGAGGCAGGGGTAGTGAAAGGGGTTGCGGTAGGCCTGGTCATAGCTGGGGGGCCGGGGGAGGGAGTAGCAGTAGTGGGGATGGGCAAGGGAGAAGGGATAGGGTTTTTCGGGAGGAATGAAAGCACGTTAGTGACGATGATTGTTTTATGTGCAGGGGGAGTTTGTTCCAGTGAAGGACAGCAAGAAGGGAAAAGAGACAAAACATGTGACTAGAGGCAGGGCTAGGGAGGCACAGAGAGGGACAGAAGAGATGATCAATCCACTGCTGGATGGAGGCCTCCCCACACCATACTGGTCTTGGAGGGCTGTTGGATGATGATGATCAGTGCTGGTTGGTAAAGGTGCAGCTGACTAAGTGGGGGGATGGAGGGCAGATGTGTGCCCCACTGAATGTTAGCCACGGCCGGGAATAAAACGAAGCCGGCTAAATTTTGATTTAAAGCTTTCGTGACTGCAGGGATTCATATTCTTGGTTCTTTCGGTAAAGTCACGTAGAAGGCAAACAATAAAATAAGGATTTGATAAACCATTTCGGGTCTTAATTGATTGTTCACGCTTACGGTGGCTTTCAGACTGCATCCATTATTTTCGTCTCCCCCCTCCTCTTTTCCGAACATAGATGGACTCTTCCATCTGAATAACTGCCAAATCGCTCTCCGTGGTGCTAACGTTAAAAAAACCGCCACTTTTTTCAAATTTTCTTGCTGTGGTTTTCACACCTGATGATGATGATTGCTTGTGTTGCAGTCGAAGCGTCGTGAGAATTTTATTGTTTTATATTTTTATTATTTTATTGTTTCCCTTCGACGTGGTGACTTTACCGAATGAACCAAGAATACGAAGCTGGCTAGGTTTGTAGCGCAGTGCACAGACCTTCGAGCGTGTGCTGGAGCTCCAGAACCTGGTTGATGAGACGAGTTTTCTCCTCGACCTCCTCTGGGTTCTCATAGTCTGCACCTACACAACAGCAGCACAGCATCAACACGATGCAAAGTGAGATACAGAGTTCCCATTACAAGGCAACAGATATACAAACTTACTGTTGTGCGGTTTTAATTGCATTTTCTAAATTATAGTAAAAACATTGTAATGTGGTTCAGGGAAGTGTACCCATGTCCAGGGCATGTTACAGGAAGCCACCTGGTCTACTACCCATCCTTGGATACAGCATCTCCTCACTATGAGCTCACATCACTTTGAATGCTCGGATTCCTCCAAGTGCTCCAAAACCAATCCAAGATCAAATTCTAGATCAAACAACAAAGTATTCAAGATCCTACATGGACCTGCCCCTGCCTACCTCTCATCTCACTCTACTCCCTCCCCATGGCCAATGCTCCATTCTACCTCTCCACCTCTCATCTCACTCTACTCCCTTCCATTCACTCTCCAACCCTAGCAATCAAGGCCTTCTGTCAAAGCCTACAGTCAGTCAACCTTCACTCAATGGGAGGCCACTCTTTAAATAAGACCCAGTATTTCGATTTAAAGCTTTCGTGACTGCAATGATTCATCTTCTTTGGTTCTTTCGGTAAAGTCACGTAGAATGAGAATAAAATAATAAATAGATAAAATAACACAATAATATTCTCACGACGTTTCGGCCACAACACAAGCGGCCTTCATCAGGTGAAGGGACGAGACTGTCTGGTAGGACAGCGCTGGAGTGAAAGAGCCACGTTCAGATCACGACCTTTAAGCTGTGTGAGAGGAAACAAAGCGCCTTGACATAGGAATTATATGCTAATTCCTTTGTCAAGGCGCTTTGTTTCCTCTCACACAGCTTAAAGGTCGTGATCTGAACGTGGCTCTTTCACTCCAGCGCTGTCCTACCAGACAGTCTCATCCCTTCACCTGATGAAGGCCGCTTGTGTTGTGGCCGAAACGTCATGAGAATATTATTGTGTTATTTTATTTTATCAATTTATTATTTTATTCTCATTCTACGTGACTTTACCGAAAGAACCAAAGAAGAAGACCCAGTATGTTTGGGCTACAGCGACAGATGGGCTAGGGCAAGGCGTAAGGTTGGTTCATTGTGACTCATCTACGGTCTGTATCTCATGTTTATTTTTGGACTAGGGTTAGGATCAGGGGTGTTGAACGAAAACTTGAAACCGTTGCAAAAAATATTTTACCAGTTCTGAGGTGCAGGATACAGGAATAATTTTTCGTGGAATTTTAGAAATCAATGCATCAACTGCCACACCTTGTACATTTCCCCTCGTTACCTGAGTTAAAGGTAAAAGCACAGCACTGCAATTGCTTGCTCATGCCACTGCTGTCAGATGAAGCCATCTCTAGCGTCAACTCGGGAGGGTTTCTCTAAGGCAGTGGCTCGTAACCTGGGGTGCACGCACCCAGTGGGGATGCGAGATGCCCTTTTTGGGGGTGCGAGACGTGGCCAATTTTTTTTAGAAGGTAAATCATCGAAACACCAATTAAACACGGGCACATAAGTACAACCACTTTGTTTCATTAAACCTATTTATTTCTTCAGTTTAATACGTAGGCTACGTATTTCTTAACATACATTTTGAACGAATGAGAAGCAAAGGTTGTGCAAGGCTGCAGTAAAAGTGAAGAACCACTGCTCTCAGGGGTTTTTGTTCCACTAGACGTTTTGGAAGAGCTGAGCATCCCCACACTTTTCCCCATCACACATGGATGGGTGGGTAGGCTGTGATGGGGTGGATTTTAGAAACTTGCCACATTGTTTTAACCGCCGTCTTGGGAGACAGAGTGGAATAGACTAATCCTGGATTGCAAGTACAGTGCACCTAACCATTAATTATGCCACTGCATCTGCTTTTGTTTCCCATTTGATTCCAATATGCGCAGCTAACTGGGTAACTGTTCTTTTTACTTTTTAACACATAGGCTTTCACTACCAATATTAACCAAAATACAGATTTTTTTTGGGTTGGATCACGTAAATATAAATGTGTCGTTCAACCCGCCACCGCCCGACACAACCAATTAGTAAGGTTCGTCACGTAAACAGAACATGCCAATTCGTTACTAGTACATCACGCCGGTGTGTTGGAGAGTAAATCCACAACGTTTACAATCTGAGTACGACGTTTCGTCAGGAATTGCAACTCGCACCATCAGGCTTTTTTACTGTAATCATGTGGTGACTGCGACCACGTGAATACAGATTCACAAAGGCCTTTTGAGCTCTGAAACATCTTTGGTATGTACAAATGCATTAAATGCACTCGAATGTTAAGCTTAAGCTATGAATGCATTGACTCGTGTGTAAGCATCGATTATTTTCTACTTATTTCATTATTTAAAGCTGATGGGCAGTACCGGGCAGAACAAGACAGTACAGTACTGTAGAGACATGGCAAACAGTACACAAAAGACAGAACCAGCTAGCATCCCTGTGAATACAGGTTTACCTGTATTCTTGTACATGGAAATTGATTTTTCATGTCTGTACGGCGAACAGTCATATCAATACAGACAAAAAAAGTGTTTGTCTATTTGTATTTCTTCCTTGTGATGGGACTTTGTAGGATGAACGTTGAGATTTATAAGGGCACGGGGGTGACCAATAAGGTCTGAATTGGTCTATAACAAGGTAGGGCACTGATAAGGGGTTGACAGGTATGAGACAGCATAGACAAAACAGAACAAGACAGAACTAGAATGTACAAACCAGACAAAATAATTGAGCACAAACGAAACGATGCAAACGAGCTAGGAGTCAACAATGCGAATGACGCAGCATAAGACAAAGGCTGGAGTGTAAATGATAAAGACAAGACAGACGATACAATACATACTGTAATCATTATTTGGTTTTAATGGAGCGTTCTTTATGCCGGGGCGACTCACGAGTGCTGTACACGCGATGGGTGATGTACATCCCATCTCACGAGTGCAGTGCACGTGATAGGCGACATACATGCCATCTCACGAGTGCTGTACAAGTGACGAGTGATGTACATCCCATCTCAAGAGTGCTCTTACACGCCAAAAGCGACATCCGGTGGGGATTGCGGGAGGGAGGTGAGAAGGATTGCCACGTGTAAATCCCAATTGAGTAATTTGCAGTGCGATTTTTTTTTATTTGGCAACTTTGGAACAGAATACCAGCACACAATGGCGTACTCTTGCAAATGACTGGAGCAGTTTTCTTCAATAATTTTCAGAGGTGGGGCTGAGGCGGGGCACTTTTGCCAATAAGACATCATCAGTGTGAGGGCCGTCAAACATTTGAAGCCATTGTCGGGTTTGATAGCAGCATCACGATGAGGTGGTGTTTACACTCTTTGTGTATTGTCGGCGGGTCGCATGTCAGAGGCTGCACTAAAGCCCACCGAGGGCCGCCTGTGGCCCGTGGGCCTTGCAATGAAGAACACTGCAGGGGCCGCCTGTGGCCCGCGGGCCTTGCAATGAAGAACACTGCAGGGACCTCCAGTGGCCCGCGGGCCTTGCAATGAAGAACACTGCAGGGGCCGCCTGTGGCCCGCGGGCCTTGCAATGAAGAACACTGCAGGGGCCGCCTGTGGCCCGCGGGCCTTGCAATGAAGAACACTGCAGGGACCTCCAGTGGCCCGCGGGCCTTGCAATGTAGAACACTGCAGGGGCCGCCTGTGGCCCGCGGGCCTTGCAATGAAGAACACTGCAGTGAAGGACGCTGGGCTAGAGGATCTTTTCACGTCGGCCGTTGAGCGGAAGTCGCGACGTAGTATTTGGTCCGGCGATTACAATCTTGGTCATGATCGGGGCCGGCCACTGCCATCAACCCTGATAATACAAACTGTTAAGGTGGGGGGTGGGGTGGGGGAATCCCCTCACATTAAAAAATAACACAGCCTTAAGCAAGAGCATATACTAGGCGACGTTTCGGGCAATTTGCCCTTCATCGTCGCACATAAAGAGTGCAATGTGAATAAGGGGGGGCCGTTGCACGAAACGTCGCCGATTATTTTACTGGACTACTTTTCTCTTGAAAAGGCCACACCACAGCCGCTGTTCGCGACGAATACGTAGGAGTTCATTTGTCGTCGTCGTCGTTGTCTGTGCACCGATGCCAACGCAGAACCTCCCTCGTCTCCGCAGACGTCCGTCAGGGCCACAACGTTACAGCAGCAACAGCAGCAACAACAACAACAGAAATCACTGCTAAGCCGACGCGGCCATTATAGAGGAGGCGATGCAGCGAGGCGTCCAAGAGACACGACTAGACGCGGGGGACAACGCAGTTACTGTGGCCCCGTCTCTGAGGCGCAGACGTAGACAAACACACGCCGCCACACTCTAATGTTTATAGACTGCATGTACTGTACGAACTGTACCACGTCACCTTCTGAATCCGCGTTCATCTTCGCCGGCGCAAGGCAGATCCTCGCGAAAACCTTTCAAGACAAAGAATTACCGCCACGCCCCTCTCTACACGCTTAATTAAAACGTCGATAACACATTTAACAAACAACATTTTTTTATATTTTTAAAAGGTGAACATCGCAGCCGTTCTGCGTGCATTGGAGCAGGCAACAACAACAAATAACAGCGTATGGATAAAATCGAAGCTTTCTTTTTTTCCTGGTATGGTCTCGCGCAATGTAACAAATATTGTATTGCTGCTGTCGTTAATAGCACGCGTCAGGTGTTAACGCAGTCTGTTGTTGTAATGTTATATATAGTTTTTATTTTTAAAAAAGGGGGAATTAAAGATCCATTACCTTTTGTCTGCCGCTCCTCCCGGCCGCTGGGCGTAAAAATGTCGGACAGTGGCGATGACGTCGACGCTTAAACGCAAAGTGTACCCAATAACAGCGAAAGCGCAAAGTGTACCCAATAACAGCGAAAGCGCAAAGTGTAACCAATAACAGCAAAAGCGTAAAGTGTACCCAATAAACAGCGAAAGCGCAAAGTGGTACCAATAACAGCGAAAGCGTAAAGTGTACCCAATAATAGCGAAAGCGCAAAGTGTACCCAATAACAGAGAAAGCGCAAAGTGTACCCAATAACAGCGAAAGCGCAAAGTGTACCCAATAACAGCGAAAGCGCAAAGTGTACCCAATAACAGCGAAAGCGCAAAGTGTACCCAATAACAGCGAAAGCGCAAAGTGTACCCAATAACAGCGAAAGCAGTGTACCCAATGTTAGTGACAAATTGTACCTAATAGCAGCGAAACACAGTGTTCCCATTGCTAGAACGCTGTGGGCTCTCATGCTATTGTTTTTTTTCCGAGACCAAGGTGCTCTGCAAACCTTCCGACTATTATCAAAGGTTTGTTCATGAAGCCATCCAGATATATAAGCACAGACATAACTTCAACCGAGAAGATGGATACAAATTGAGCAATCATTGGAAGAATGTTATTAACCAGGTAAAACCTTAACCGCTTTATAGTTTGCCTTCATATCTGCATCTCCAGTTTTCTTCAGCCTCCTCCCAGGCCCCGCTTATTTCCCAGCCCCAGCATTGTCAGTACCCCATTCGCCCTAACCCACACCCCCACCCTCTCTATCTCTCCTCCCTGCCCCCCCCACCCGCTCTCTTACATATGTAGCCTCTTGATACAAGCACCCCTTTTGCCCACTTCAGCAATTGTTTCTTGCTGTGGTTGTCACACCTGATGACGGACGCTTGTGTTGCGCCCGAAACGTCGTGATTTAATTTATTTTATACTCTACGTGACTTTACCGAAAGAACCAAAGAGTATGGATCCCTGCCGTCACGGAAACTTCAAATCTAGATTGTACCCAATTGCAGACATAGAAAGTACCCAATGGAAGCCAAAAACTCGTTGGCTCAAAAGCGCCTTAACGCTACCACTTAGGGTGGTAAACGCTGACAATGATTTTATTTAAGAATTTTGTCTCGAGAAAATAAATATGCATGTACCCAATAACAGTAAGTAGCTTTTTACTAGGGAAACAAACATGAGATTAAAAGGGTAGTATAGTGTGTTTGATAAGAGTATCGTTTTGATGGAGGAAAAAAACCCGAATGTGATATGAAACATGTGGAATGAGTGGACCTTATATAAAAAAGTGTCTACGCTCACAAACAGTATGTATGGTGGGGGGGGAATGGGGTAAAAATAGTGAGGGAGATTTATAGGTTTCCCTAGTAATTTTTTTCCATTTACAACCATGCTTGCAATGATTACATGAATCAAGTTGTCGGTTGTGGCGTGCCACATTGACAGTGAGTTAGATACAATATCTCCAGTTTCGGCTCACACATCGCTTTCCCAGTGGATAAAGCAAGGTTTAGGGGCCGTCTATAAATGACGTCACGCGATTTTGGACGATTTTTAACCCCACCCTCGTCACGCGGCGTCACAAAGGCAGACTCCCCCCTCAAATATGACGTAACAAATCTGTCCTTCCCACCCCCAGGAGAACATTTATAAAAAAAGTATATTTAATTAAGTAGAACGTGTTGTCAAAAATGTATTAAAAGTTGCGCATTTTGATGTGACGTCACTTCTCAAACCAACCCCCCCGTCACACATCGTCACAAATGTCTGACCCCCCCCTAGGTGCGTGACGTCATTTATGGACGGCCCCTTAACCAACCGGGGACAAAACAGTGCACCGAAGAGCAGATGAACGTGTAACATACACAAAAATGTGTGTGATATCCACTAAGGTACACATTTCATTGTGCACCCAATGGGGAAAGTGTGTCAAAGCATAGTGAAACAAAGGCGTACTCAAAACACACATGACGTACGCAAAGACTACAGCAGAAGCGTACCCAATTAATTGTGGGAGGCACCGTGTTCAGTTTCTCAAATTACTTTATTGGAGCAACATTCAAGTCCATCAATTCGAAAAACCGAGAACTCATTTTCTTTCTCATCTGCTTAAATAACGTAAGGGGTGTTTTCCTACACCTGCTGCTAAGTGCAGCCTAGCGCCTAGCACACACCCGTATCCGTTAAACATGTACATTCGTAAAACGCAAGCTAAATTGTTAAATCCAATGTTGTAGGGTTTGTTTCTTTAATTCGCTTTTTTAAGAAACCTGTCGTGTAACAAGAGATAACGCAAAGCTTATAAGATTTCACATCGACTTAATACGGGGGAGGGGGGGTCCCCACTAGTCCGTTACTCCAGAGACTGGCGATTCTGCATGAAGATGCTGGAACTTCTCAAGACCTGAACTAGACCGCCAACTTTTGCTGCCGTCGTTCGACTTGGACCTCAACATGGGAGCTAATTTGGACTTATTTTAGTAGGTTTAAGCAGCATCAACTGCCAGTCACACTGCACATGACAAGCAACGCGTTTGGTATCAAACCCTTCACAAGATTTAGATCCCCACACAATCCAAGTCGAAAATCATTCATCCAACAGATCACTCTCATGGTGATGCCTTTCGTGGTTGTCAATTGCGCAAAAAGCGTGCAGCAATTACAAAACCTTCACAACATTTTAATCGGCGTAGGAAATGACTAAAATGGCATTAATCGGCTGACGATTACCAACCAGAACTGATCTTCGGAGGAGTTAAGTGATTAGTCATCGGCTGCAACTCCAGTGAAGCTAATTTTCACAGCACTCCCTGATGAAGGGGCCTTCATTTCGGTCGGTGTAACGTGTAAGGACTGGTGGAAACCCGCCGTTAAGGAATTTCAAAACAGACAAACACACAAGGAGCCGTATTTGGGTTTGGCGTTAATAATTCGATGCACCAAAGTTTTAGATTTACACGGGTGGGTAAGTTCATGATTGCTACCGATTGCATAGAAACCGGTTGTTGCCCAGACTACTTGGCGAAAATTAAGCAATAGTTGCCCGTTCAAATTGTTTTTTTTAGCATGATTTTATTTTCTAGACATACAGAGCACATGCAGCAGTAGCTATTTACAAATCTATAACATAACTAAGATTCATTGGGTCGGGCGGGTGGGTAGGGCGAGGGGAAGCAAAAGAAAAATCCCCAAAAAATTCAGTGCACATTTTGGGCTCAACAACAAAAATGGTTACGAATGTTAAAACATTATATGCAATATTTTCGCTGGCTGCCAACGGCTTCCTTTACCGCACTCCGCTAAGAATCCCGGCAGCGGAAACAGCAGCGTCAACACGGCAGCTGCTCCAGCTTCAGTACCACAGACCGTACTCTGGAAGCAAGACTTATTTGGAATATGAACTATGTATTGTACAGTGTAATCCACATACTGGTGTTCTGCACACGTTGGGCAACACTTGTTGGTCCGACGTGCATCAAGGGAACACGTTCCTGGCTGCAAATGGAGTCAAAATATTGTGGGGGTTCGAGCATTCAAAGTCGGCAGTGGAATCACCACCCACACTCACAAATGTACCTAGACAAAGGCTACAGTTATTGAAGTCTTTTCCAGCCCAAAAAATGTAACCTTTGTTGCGATTAACAATGCTGCATCATAGTATACCGTGATGTAAATTCGCAAATGCAAAGCAGTCGCAACTACGCAGTTGTGAACGTCAGACTGAGTGGCTGTTGATATCCACCACCCACAGATTTGCAGTTGTGGCCACGTGAATGGGTAAATCTTTTGTTAAAATCGCAACCGGTGAAAGGAATCCTCTCCCAGGGCGTTAACCCATGGGCCATCAAAGCAACGGCAGGTGTTAAGAGATTTTAACCGTTGTCGATAAATGTCATAGATTCACTTGCAGTTAATTGAATAGCGGTTATGATCCCGGATCCAAATAGCGTGGAATCTAAGTGCACCGCACATGTGCAGTATTGAGGTGGCAGTGGCAAAGTTAGGAAATTCTGGACATCCCAAAAAATTTAAACGCTCACAACAAACACCAACCACGACAGCTTTTATTTGTTAAGTTAACAAAAAGCTGCCGATCCTCTGTCCACTGAGGTCCTTCCAGCTTCACGTGCAAACCAAGTTCACGCGCGAGACTTTCCAACGTTCCTTCAATGTCCCACACCGTGTTTCGTTGGTACCATGCTAATTTAATCGACGCCGTAAAAAATTGCTGACGCGTCAAATAATCAGAATAGTTGCCGAGGTGGAATGACATTTTTAGGGGGGGGGGGGGGAAGTGACTGCATTTAATTTCTCTTTATGCAGGATTTTTAAACGTGCAAGTTAATATTGTGGCACTTGCTACAGTGTCAGTGTTTCCTAACCGAGAGTTAGATTCAGTCTAGGGTTGGTCTTGGGACCACAGACGCTTAGGATAAACTCGCGTTGTAACGACGGCAAATGGAGGTTAGGGTAGTGCCAGGTTTAGGGTGGGCGCTAGGGTTAGGGTTTGTATCTTAAAGTCGGCACAACCCAAAAGAGTAGCTCTTTCTTATTATGTACACACTTAAGCTGTGTTCATGGTTGTCCAACACGAGTTTTTATCTTCAATAAGAAGCAATAAACACTTTCAAATGACCTTCAAGCACTCCGGTGTAGTGCGCACCAGTGACATCACTATAGTGACATTAAAACGTACGGCAGTCACACCGACACTTTAGTGACGTCACTAAACCGCTATGGCCGACAAGTCTTTTTCCTTGATAACGAAACTTCAAACTCATTTGGATAGCCTGGGTCACAAAGCCTAGGGACATCTACAAGAGCTATTCTTTCAGGGTCAAAACTTCCTTTGGCGGTGCAGGATTATAACGAGTCGTCACCTCAATTAACATCGCTCCTCCATCTGTGCTGAGCCGACAGGCATGGCCCCCATCCCCGCTCAAGACCATCGCAACGTTGTCAAGTGAAGCTGCGACACGCTGGCACAGTATTGAGATGTCGCCAGATGGCTGTCAAGAATGAGAAACCGTGGCAATCTCTAAAGCACGGACCACCGCAATCGCTATCGAGAGACGCCTGCCAAGAAGCACTGTGCACACAGGCAAC